GAACACGAAATTATTGCGACATATTCAACAGGGCATAACTTTTTTTTTGTGGGGGCGACCCCGGCGTAGTGGTTAGCATCCATATTTCTCACGTCAAAGTCACGAGTTTAAATCTCACCCCCGGACAAGTCACGAATGACCCAAGAGCGTTAAAATGACTTTAATAAAAAAAAAAAAAAAAAAAACATAACTTTTTTACCATTGGGTAAAAATCAACTAAATTTTGCACACTTTCTCATTGATGTGTATTGTGTACATGCTGTCAAACTCGAAGTCGTGTTTTTCGATTCAACGAAAATGGAGGTGAACCAACGCGAGTTGAGAGAACAAATTCTTTCCAAACACCTGACCTGTCGCACCGGCAGTTGGGAAAAATGTTGAACATTCACCATTAAACCGTCTCCAGAGTGTTGAAGCGGTTCCAGGAGCAGTTGACGTTGGACCACGGCAAAGGAGCTGGAAGAAAACCGGGACCGGAGAACAAAAAGACGGAGGGAAAGGTGAAGCGGATGATTAAAGCAAATCCCAACGTCTCAAGCCGTGATTTGGCTAAAAAGATCGGCATGCAAAGAAGAGAGCTGGACTACATACATACAAGGTACAGAACTTCCCAAACCGCAATGAGCGGCAACAATCGACGGCTAAAACTCGGGCACGGAAGCTCTACGAGAAGATGCTGACAAAATATGGCTGCTGTGTGATGGACGACGAAACGTATATAAAAGCCGATTTTAAGCAAATTCCGGGGTTGGAGTTTTTCACCGGCAAGAGCAAGTTCGATGTGGACGACAAATTTAAGAAGAAGAAAATGTAGAAGTTCGCCTCCAAATATCTCATTTGGCAGGCCATCTGCTCTTGCGGACTGAGGAGTGAGCATTTCGTGACAAAGGGCACAGTAAATGGCGAGATCTACAAATCTGAGTGCCTCGAGAAGCGCCTTTTGCCGTTCTTGCAGCAGCACGACGAAGCTCCGCTATTTTGGCCAGATTTGGCATCATGCCACTATTCTAAAAGTGTCCTGGAGTGGTATGAGGCCAATTCTGTCCATTTTGTTCCAAAGGACATGAATCCGCCAAACTGTCCGGAGCTGCGCCCGGTGGAGCAGTACTGGGCATTAATGAAGCGGGAACTTCGGAAGAGCAAGAAGACAGTCAAAGACGAGAAGGACATGTTAAGAAAATGGAAAAAAAAACTGAGAAACTGGTACCGGATGACACTGTAAAGACTTTGATGGAGGGCATCAAGCAAAAATGCGTTCAATTTTACACTCAAGGCTCCATCGATTAACTTTTCTTTTGATTTTTGAAGTAAATATATGTAAATATAAATTTTGGTTTGATTATAAACATTATAAGAAAATTGGCATGACATTTTCGGTGTCGCAATAATTTCGTGTTCGCCCTTTAGTTGGAAAAGAGTGTGCGAAGTTAATGGGAGAACCACACACTCTTTGTCGAGTGTTGTGAGATGCATGCACAAAGTTGCTTCGCTAACGCTCTGAGGTGTTTTCCAGCCCTGCATATACTAAATTCGTGTTTATCTTCTAAAAGGTGGGAAGTATTGCAATCTCACAGATTTAAATTTAACTATAAGCACAGACAAACAGACATAACACATTGAATATTTCTCATTGTAAAACATCGTCGCTAAAACATTACCGCCATCTGTTGAATACACTGTGGTTGGTAGTACGCTGAACAGATGGCGGTAGTGTGTAAACGTCAAACGCAGGTCAATTGACTATGCGCGCCACAAGTGGCGGTACTACCAACAATCAATACGAAACTAACGATTTTAAATTGGCTCACCACTTTAGTAGCCTATTGGTCCCAAGCAAACGATTAACGTACCCTATTCTAGTTGAAATTCTATTATTACACTATGTTTGTTTTGATTCGCTATGAAAGTTTGACAGATAACATCAGGGGTGTGTGGATTCATGCAGAACATGCAGGGGTGAGTGAAATAGCTTGGGACTGCTTGGGACCGTTGTTCTGGTACTGAGTGAGCCAAAAATAATAATGATTTTCTTCGGAACCCAGTGGTCTTAGAGTTACCTCTATGGTACTACCAACAATCAATACGAAACTAACGATTTTAAATTGGCTCACCACTTTAGTAGCCTATTGGTCCCAAGCAAACGATTAACGTACCCTATTCTAGTCGAAATTCTAGTACTACGCAATGTTTGTTTTGATTCGCTATGAAAGTTTGACAGATAAAATGAGGGGTTATTGGTTTTTCCTATGTTTCGAGGGGTGAATCGATTAGCTTGGGACCGAAGAGAGTACCAGAGCTGAGCCAAAAAGTTGAGCACGTTATTTCGGGACCTTCTAGTCTTAGAGTTACCTCTATGGTACTACCACCAGTTGGAAACTAACGATTTTAAATTGGCTCACTACTTGACTAGCCTATTGGTCCCAACCAAACGATTAACGTATCCCATTCTAGTCGGAATTCTAGTACTGCTCTATGTTTGTTTTGATTCTCTATGAAAGTTTGACAGATAAAATAAGGGGTTCGTAGATTTTTCCATGTTTCGAGGGGTGATTCGATTAGCTTGGGACCGAAGATAGTACCAGAGCTGAGCCAAACAGTTGAGCACGTTTCTTCGGGACCTACTAGTCTTAGAGTTACCTCTATGGTACTACCATAGAGGTAACTCTAAGACCACTGGGTCCCGAAGAAAATCATTATTATTTTTGGCTCACTCAGTACCAGAACAACGGTCCCAAGCAGTCCCAAGCTATTAAACTCACCCCTGCATGTTCTGCATGAATCCACACACCCCTGATGTTATCTGTCAAACTTTCATAGCGAATCAAAACAAACATAGTATAGTAATAGAATTTCAACTAGAATAGGGTACGTTAATCGTTTGCTTGGGACCAATAGGCTACTAAAGTGGTGAGCCAATTTAAAATCGTTAGTTTCGTATTGATTGTTGGTACTACCATAGAGGTAACTCTAAGACCAGAAGGTCCCGAAGAAACGAGCTCAACTTTTTGGCTCAGCTCTGGTACTATCTTCAGTCCCAAGCTAATCGATTCACCTCTCGAAACTTAGGAAAATCCACTAGCCCCTCATTTTATCTGTCAAACTTTCATAGCGAATCAAAACAAACATAGTGTAGTACTGGAATTTATACTAGAATGGGGAACGTTAGTCGATTTGCTTGGGACCAATAGGCTAGTCAAGTTGTGAGCCAATTTGAAATCGTTAGTTTCGTATTGATTGTTGGTACTACCAACTACGATACTTTTAAATTGACCGTTAAATGCTTGTTCGATAAACAACTTGCGAGTGTTATGTCTGTTTGTCTGTGCTATAAGATTATATGGAAATGTAATGGCATGTGTTTTGTTCAGATTCAAAACAAACTGATACATGTAAGAGGTCGTTTACTTATTATGTAAGGCTTAATGGAGGGAGGGTTGTGTAAGATTATTTTTCTTATTTTTCGGATTTATTTTCATATTGCTCAGATTTGTTAGAAAAAAAAATCAAGTGGGTTTAAAAATCTTGAAATAGTTTTACCAAATTACTGGACGGCCCCTAAATAATATAAATAAGCATATTAATACTAGTAAAGATACATAAACACCATAGCACCATAGAGGTAACTCTAAGACCTGAAGGTCCCGAAGAAACGTGCTCAACTTTTTGGCTCAGCTCTGGTACTTTCTTCGGCCCCAAGCTAATCGATGCACCCCTCGGTAACAGAGGAAAATCCACGAGCCCCTCATTTTATCTGGCAAACTTTCATAGCGAATCAAAACAAACATAGTGTTGTACTAGAACTTCGACTGGAATGGATGCGTTAATCGATTTGCTTGGGACCAATAGGCTAGTCAAGTTGTGAGCCAATTTAAAATCGTTTGTTTCCACCGGTTGATAGCACAGCTCGTGGATTTTCCTATATTTCAAGGGGTGCATTGATTAGCTTGGGACCGAAGATAGTACCAGAGCTGAGCCAAAAATTTTTGCACGTTTATTCGGGACCTTCTGGTCTTAGAGTTACTTCTATGGTATAAGGCTGGAAAGTGCTGGGAAACATAATAAAATAGACAATCCCCGCTATTCTGCGAGTCACGTGACTCTCTCTCACCGGTGAGGTGACAATAGTCACCTCGTGTGAGGTGACTCTCCATTTGATTTGCCTGGAGAGTCACCTCACACGAGGTGACAGAGAGTACGTGACTCGCAGAATAAGGGGGAATGAAACTTAACATTGCATTTTTTGAGTGTGTTTGTGTAGTGTTTTGAGAAAATGTGCGTTGGGGACACAAAACAAAATGACAGTGCGCCTTAATTGGAACGGGCCCTTTTTTTTATTATAATAATGCAAAAACCCAGATTCATGTGAGATGTATGACAAGGTAAGTGTTTTATGATAGCTTGATAGTTCCGCTAGAGTACGGCAGTGTGCAAATTGAATAGAAGTTGAAATTGAGCTAAGGGTCATTAATGCGGCAGTACTAATCAAACTCACACTCCTCTCCTTACTCATACATTAATGGATGAGGGGACTAACACACCATCGCCTGGAAATGCTTTTGGCAACGTGGGGCTTTAGGTAGTTATAAACGTCACTAGAACTATTCCATAGCCGCAGACAGTATATTCTATAATTATCCGGTGTACAGTTATCAGTTTGACATCCGTTATTACTAGAGACCGAATACACCTCTGCAAACTCTTGGGAAGGTAAATAAGATCTGGATTCACTTTGGGAAATGATGTGATCTTTTAAAGCTTGATGGGACCCTATCAATTCAGTTATGTTCTGCTAGTAATCAAATACGGTCGCCATTAGGCCGCCACAAGGCGCCCTAGGCCCTTAAATCACAAAAATCTTCCCTGACTGATTATGTTTCCGGATCTGGATCAAGAATACGTTATATTTGAACGAGAACATTTTTTTCGAAATTTCAGAAAGAATTTATACCATACATACAATTAACAAAAGAAATTCAATATTGGTTCATTTCTTTTTCCAGGTTGAGATTAAACCAGCTCTAGAGGAACACATCAGGAAACTTACGACGCGAAAACGAAGACCTCCGGTGAAGAGAACGTACAGAATAAAACGAGCCCAGGAGAACCATCTGCAAACATTGGCGGAAATTAATATGAAATAAGCGATAATCCGGAAGATGCGAAATGTGGTCAGTATTACATGCCTATTTGTTTTCATATATTTCCGACGTCAATATCACTTTCCAAGAATGCTTCTTTTTTGCCACAACATAATAAAACGTTTTCAAAGAAAATAAATTGCCCAAGGGAGATCTTCCAGAGGAGATATGCAGATCCTACCAGAATAGCTACGAAGGGGATCAAAGATAGAGCATGTCAAAAGTTCCCCACGCCAAATGATGAATCGATCACACGCAACCTTTTCCGATTTTTCCTGAAACTGTGCAGAACTTTTTGCTACCGGCAACCATTTACATTTGAGCTAAAGGTCTGCCATTTTGAATCTTGCAAAACTATTCAAAATGGTGTACTTGATATTTTTCAATAAATCATGGCACGAATACATCACTTCCAATCGAAATGACATCTGAGACAAAGTCTTCAGCAAAGTTGCTCTGCATAGTTTGTTTAATGTAAGTGTATGAGATACATTGACCAATGCTTGAATTTTGTATAAGCAAATTATCGATTCATTCCGTCTCCCATACATTTTCCCTTAAAATTGATGGCCTCAATTTTAAAAAATTCGTAAAAAAGTTTCCTATCGATTAGCTTATTAAGAATTTAAATCCATCATCTCTGGATCAAAAGCAAATCACTTTCATGCCGCGGTTTCATGTCTTTGGTTTTTAAGTTGCACCCCCAATGTTGACTTAAAAATACATGGTATGTAAGATTTAAACTTATAGGAACTGACATCCGATTGATGACCTTGACAAATGTCCAGAAAATACTCAAATTAACAAATTTATGATGGTCCTGAAAATGACCGTTTTATCGTGATAGTTGAGTAACGGTGAGCTATTAGGGTGTTCAACAGAGATGAGACTGGCGAGCTGTATGTTGTTTGGAACGAGGGTGACGCACTTGGCATAGATGGCCCACAAAGACTCACGAAGAGCTAATGAATCCGATTAGTAGTGGTGCGGCTTCCTCCTCCTTTGGTGAATGCTTACGGGTGGCCTTTCGTTGTGTACGCACCGAAAGCACTGCTGCTGCTGCTGCTAATGACGACTGACCGGACACCACCACACACGGTGATTGAATAAGCTACGTTCGGCAAGACTGGATGGAATTGGATTTTGAAATCTGTGTTGGGGAAAGCGCTTTTTGCAGGCAATCAGTGATAATTTTAATCGTAACAGTTGGATATTTGTTTAATTTTCAATAGTGACCTATTGAAAATTAATAAAGTGTTCATTTTAGCAGATTGATAGAAAAATTTCCAATCGATTGGTTTGTTTAAAATTAAAATTCATCCGCTATTGACAGAGTTATAAGTGGTCAAAACCTGCCAATTTTTCGTAACGCGGTTGATTTAGGTTTTTTGACAACAAGGCCGGTGGTGTAGTGGTAAGCGTGATAACCTCTCACCCCAGCAGGCCTGGGTTCAATCCCAGTCGGCGCCGCCGGGATGTTCTGAGGCATGACATCTCTGATCACGCCTTCCTTCGGATGGGAAGTAAAGCCGTTGGTCCCCGGTTCATGAGTTGATGGGTCGATAGGTAGGGTCTAGGTGTGGGAGCTGCCTTCCTGGCACGTCGGTAGCATTGGTGCTCAGCACGGAAAACAAGATCGACGGAAAAAAAACAAACCAAAGGAAAAAGAAAAGGTTTTTTGAGATTGAACCCCCAATATGTTGCCGAAAGACGTAATCCTACGTCAAAAAAATTAAAAAAAAATCTGGTTGGTTAATTTTCCCCGATTGTCATAATGGTCGAAGTGTGATAGTAAAAAACAATTAGCCAGTTACTATCGGTAGGTAGGTCTTGGAATTTATTTTGATGACTATATTTTCAGTTGAGATATCACGGAGGTTCATATACTCTTTTACCGCTTTGCATCTGTAGCTCTTTGCTGCTGGTAGTGAAGGGCACCAGTGGCGGAGGTTCCGTCTGGCCGTAACAGAATTGAGCAGCAATCCGATTTGTTTCAGCTTGCCTGATTTTGGGGAAAAATGCCAACGGTGGTGGATCCACTGGCGGTGGTAAGACGTTGCCAGTTTGTTGAGTTGTGCCAGTCAATATAGGTGACTCTTGAAAACATGTTTGAGGTACCGCCGGCACGTTTAAGGATATATTATTACTATAGGAGTACTGCTCATCGTTCTTTATATTGGGAAACGATTCCATAATCATAGCGTCATTGATGCAATGACTGCACAACTGAAGAAATTGTAGGGGATTCCTGAGATGAACGGGTGTTCTAATCCACTGCTGCGTTGCTTGACTGATTACCGTTTCCTGTAGCAGCTGAATTTTGCTTTTTGTTTTCTCGGGCTGATCTCTCGCCGGTCGCTTGGTTTTCTTGGATAGTTTAACAAACTGTTTAGTCGCCAGTTGCGCCAATGTTTCCAACATTTGCCAAATTGAGCATCTCTGTAGACCACTTTGGTTGCGAAGTTCCCGGAGGAATGTTTTTACCAGGTTTGAGGTACACTGTATTTGGCCGAATATTGATAATCGCTTAGCTCCAACGGAATTCAACCACGAGTATTGAACGAAGTCGCAAAGAATGGCGAAGTTTTCGGTCAGCACCTGAAAATATGTAGAGATCAAGAAATTTTGTAACTTTACTATCTAAATTTGTGTGGGCAGGTATTGAAATATTAATTTACAATTTTAACAATCTTCTAATGAAAGAATAAAATCAGAACTTTGTACGACGAATTTTGTATTTTTGCCAGAATGAATCAAAAGCTTACCTCTTTCTCCTTCATCCATTTCCTCAACGCCTCCAGTCCATGATTCATATAGTTGTCAGGAAGAAGCGGTAGTACCAGCAGCATCCTCAACGCACTGCATGCATGTCCTTTGGTAGTTTCACGACCCAGACCAAGCTGTCGCATCTGTTCCAACACCGCTGCCGTGTAGTGATGCCAGTAAACCTTGACGGTAGCTTCCGGAAAGCTTATTTCCAAAGCACTTTGAATTATATGGTCAGGTTCGGTTGATATCGTAGCTGGAATGATCTGTACACCCAACTGTTCCCTGACGTATGCAAATATGGCTGCAAATCCTGCGTAGCTTCGTTCCGTCATGATACAATAGATGGCCGGAACGCAACTGTTTCGATGAGTAGTCAAACCTACTAAAACATGGTACTTAGAAGATCCTCCAGCAGAATTCTGCAAACTACAATCTAGATACAAGTCATCAATTCTCCCCATCGCATCCAAAGTTCGTCTGTGCCACAGCACCAAACTCGTAGCATCCTCCGAACTGACGGTAGTTTGATAGAACTGGTCCCTATGGCTACCACAGTGTATCCGGAACCAATCCGAACTCTCCAAAATTTCTTTCAACTCAGCCATACTACCAGGCTCCTGCGGATGCATCTTTCGGCGTGCTTTTCTCATACATGACTCCGCCTGGGAGAATGTATACAGTAGAGAAGCATCCGCATGTCGGTTGGTTGCCTCTTCCAGATAAATAACGTGCAGATCTGTACCTTCGGCGGCCGCTCGCTGGGTCAACACTTTCCGGAAACGGTCCACTATAACGCGGTCCGCCTCCGGTTGGTGGTTGTGTGCTGTAGTATTCCGTACGACGCCGTCCTCGTCGACCACGCACCGACCGGGGCAGTTGACCTTGTAACGACAGCAACGATAGTAACTGAAAGTAAAAGAGCTTTAGTTAGTCGGATACTTATAGCAGAATGTAGATAATTATATTGGTTAGCGACTTTACCCTGAAGTGCCTTTCTTGTAGGCCAGCCAATATTTGTAACCGTTAGCGTACATAACGTTTTTAAAATTTGCACTGGCAGCTTCTACTGAACATCTTTCATGGATTGGATGCTTGTTTCATGTTGATTGACATTTGAGCAACCTCTGTTTAAATATGCATTTTACGCTGTCCAGTTCAGCTATGTTGTATGATTTATGATTTCAAAATGTTTACTCAAGATCCTTGGCCGTTGTGTCCTAACAAGTGCTTGGCTTTCACACTATCTCAGCCATAGCATAGATAAGTCTTAATAGCTCGGTGTCCAATCACAAGTGAAATTTATTCACTGCAAGTTCTTATATCCTCTCACAATATGGTCATAGTTTACAGTATTTCCTACAAAAAAAATTTAAACAACTTTTAAACATACTAATTTTTACTGAAACATGAATGAAGGCTGAAACTCTTTCACATAAACAAAACACATAACTAATCGTGTTTCACTTCCTTTTGTTTAGCTCACATCACCAGATTTGAGTTCATTAGGATTGTCAAATTTCTAATAGATGTCGTTTCCGTCACAAGTTTCCAGTTGGATTATATCGACAGTGAGCATGCATAAGGGCGTATACGCGATGATCGATTCCCTTCATCGATTTTCTCTTTGCATTGCTGCTGCTAAGCGAAACAATTTACTAGAATTTGTTCAATGCAGAATTGTAACAGGTTGTATTGGCTATCAAAAGCAACAGCAAACGCACCGAGAAACCACAGAGAACAGACATTCAAGTCAAATTCCTCAAGTGTGTAACAGATTTAACTGCTATTCTGAATAGACATTTGAAACTAGCAATATCGTGGTGGCACTAGTTTCGCTGCCCATCGACGTCGATGACCGGCTTAACATAAATGTAAAAATTGTTGTGAGCAAAACATTGTTTGTTTAAAACCGATCAAAACATGGGCCGCAAGTGCGAGTTTCATTGGTGCGCAAATAAACAAAGTGTTACCAAGCGAAAATCTTTTCACAAATTTCCTAAGGATGCTAAATTGCCCGAACTACAGTAGATTTTCTTCTCACGTGGAGGTCAAGCGCTTGCAATGAAAAAAATATGTTACGACCACTTTCCCCCGAAGGCTTTTCGAATACCTGGATGATTTCTGAATTTAAATGAGGGCTTATTAGAGTTCACACCCTCACTGAATCATTTAAAGATACGCCGCCAGTGAACTCAAAAAAAAAATCAGTTTTGCTCCTGACTACTATGCCCAGTTAAAAGTGGAACGAAAAACGGATGTAGATCCACAGGAACTGTAAAAAAAAACTTAGTTTTTTATTCGAAAATAATCTCCTTCTTCTTCTTCATTCCTTTATTTAACGTCGGTCTCTGTTTCGCAATCTAGTGCAATCTATTGACGGCAATCGAGTGTGTAGGAAGGCAGCTTCTACACCTGCGTAGGATATCGCACCCATTCAACACACATGGGCCGGGACCAACGGCTTTACTTCCCTTCCGAAGGAAGACGTGACTAGAAATACTAGAAGGAGAGATGAGCGGAGAGAATGTTTTGAGCCAAATGAACTGTCAAAATCTGAGCCAAACGAACATTCCCATTAGATTTTTTCCGAGAATTTTTTATTCTTACTAGATTAAATTTGAGAGTATTGCAATCGAACAGAAATTCAATCACCCTTATGTTTCGTGTGCTTCTCAAATTCAACTAGTTTTTGGAATCAAAAGCAATACTCTAGCTCTATTGATTAATTGATCTTAGTTGGTCAATTAATGGCACCAAAAAATGTGCAAAATATTGCGATGCAATCAGTTATTAATTTACACGTTAATCGAATCAAATTTAAAAGTCATGTGAAATGCTATGTTTTAGCAAGGGTTGCAAGATAATTAAGATACAAATCCCTGCTGCCGAATTATATTTTGTTTTCTCCGCCCATCTCTCCCTCTGAGTATTTCTAGACGTGACCAGAGATTTTTATGCCTCAGAAAAATCCCACCGACCTCGGCATAGGGGTGTGAGAAAGCAGTCACGCTTACCACTACACCACCGGCGCCGGCTCGAAAATAATGGTTCCGCAGAAACTCTACTGATTTCCGTTGTTTTGCCTTGTTTGTTTTGAACTGATTTGACAGTTCATTTGGATACACGGTCAATAAAATCAACCCAAATTTTAGTTCATTTAACTCATTAATCGCAAAAAATGATAACTCGAGTCGCAAAATTCCGTATGGTGGCGCTAGTGTTTCTAACGTATTTTTATTTGAATTCTTACACATAATTTTTTGAAAATTTTGTTGAAGCTTGGATGTCTGTTCTCTGTGGAGAAACGTTAATTCTAGCGAGTTATTAACAAAAGAGAAAATCGACGAAGAGAACAGATCATCACGTTTGCGCCCTTATGCATGCTCACTGTCGATAATTTCAGTTAAGTGTTTAGTTGTTGATCGCGCACGGTAGGACCCGATTTGGTACGTTGATAATTAGTGATGGGCGGAGAAAACAAAATACAATTTGGCAGCAGGGATTTGTATCTATATTAACTTGCAAACCTTGCTAAAACTTAGTATTTCACATGACTTTTACTTTTGATTCGATTTACGTGTAAATTAATACAATACTTTGCACATTTTTTGGTGCCATTAATTAACCAACTAAGATCAATTAATCAATAGAGTTATAATATTGCTTTTGATTCCACAAACTAGTTGAATTTGAGAAGCACACGAAACATAAAAGTGATTGAATACTCTCAAATTTAATCTAGTAAGAATAAGAAATCCTCGGAAAAATTCTAATGGGAATGTTCGTTTGGCTCAGATTTTGACAGTCATTTTTGGCTCAAAACATTCTCTCTATCCATCTCTCCTTGTAGGTAGTATTTCTAAGGTACACTGATAAAACAGCAAAGATTTTATTTATGTGATTTCACACATAACTTTCATAAAACGCTCCACACATAAATTTTATAACCAACTCATAAGCTTCATGTGTATTACATATGCGAAGTATGTGTGTTTGTGGAATGACATATGGCAAAAAATTATGTTTGGGCACACATAAAACAAATTTACTCCCGACTATACAGGGGAATTTCAAAATGGAGACGGAAAACCAGTATGTAAACATTGTGGAAAAATTTGAAGGTGAAGTTTGCGGAAAAATTGCGTAAGGTTATGATTTCGACTTGAATTCTAATTTCAGTGACCGTCGATATTAAGCTGTGTGCTAGGTGCTTCAAACGGGACAATTTGCAGTTTCCGGAACAGGACAGAAGCTACCATCCAAATAGTGGAATCCGAAGTGGAATCGCTCTGCAAACCTTGCTGCAAACCAATCAGGTTGCTTTGAAGCTCATCGATTCATGGTATCGCAAGAGCAGCCCATAGAGTTTTCTCAAAACTCCTCTGCTGCTTTGTTATAACCGAGGTTATAACGGAGCAATAATCGTGCCTTTTTATCATGAACGATTACATCATTCTTACTCGACACATAATGGAGGGACCGGTTGTGTCCGGACACGAAGGCATCCGCCTTTCATGAGCTCGAGTGCATTGTATTCCTATTTAATTTATATTTTTAAATTAATTTATCATAATCAATAACAAAAAAAAAATAGATAGTTAAAATCATTTGTCACTAGCTATAATTTTCATGTATGACCACACATAAAACTTATTGAATGGCGAATAAAACTAATTATGTGTCTCACACATAAATATTATTTGTGACATCACATTGCAAAAATTTATGTGTGTGGCATATAATCGAAATATGAGCAATTTTCTCAGTATACTAGTTCTAGGTGTGTGACGTCACGAATGAAATCATTGTTAATCGACTGAACCTTTTTGACAGTTCAGTGGTACTGTTTACAAGCACTTTTTTACAGTCGTTTTTTCGAAAAAAAATTCTAACATTTCCGAGTTTAAATTTGAAAATTGTCGAGGAAAAGCGCGGTGAAAGGATGTTGCTCGTGGACAATGCAGAAGTGCGGTTTACATCTCACTGCAGTCTGAAAAATTATCGAGAAAATCTACCCAAGAAAAAATCGACTAAGTGCACGTAAACAGTACCACTGAACCACAGACAAACAAACATAACACATTGAATATTTCCCACTGTCAAACATCTTCGCTAAAACATTACCGCCATCTATTGAGTACACTGTGGTGGGTAATACACTGAACAGATGGCGGTAGTGTGTAAACGTCAAACGCAAGGGAATGTCTGTTTGTCTGTGACTGAACTGTCATCAGATTGAGGTTAACCCCGACGGTGCAAAACCTAATAGAGAATCATATTTCTAATAGATGTCGTTTCCGTCACAAGTTTCCAGTTGGATTATATTTTCAGTTAAGTTGTTGATCGCGCAATCAGAAATAGCCCAGAAAGCTTGAATACATATACTAAATTGAGTAAAATTTTTGATTTACGACTTAGCGACTTCGCAGTCAATCCCATCAAGCAAAGCAATCGCATATTAGTCCCATCCTGAAATTCAACCGTCCATAGTTCAAGTTAAAGTTCTGATTTTCTAATTGCCATATTTTTTGCTGATATAACAGAACATGCAAGCTTCATTGTGACAGATTTTAACTTAAAAAAATATCTATAAATTTTCTATGATTATTCAAATATTAACATGAGAATTGCACTTCGTAACTTCGAATGCCATTTTCTCAATGCCTACTTTTTCTATATGGGACTGATATGCGATTATAGGCAGCGTAGAACTAACTTCGAGGGAACGGCAACCTTTTTCGAAAACATCAGCTGGGACGATGAACTCCGAGATCGTGACGCGAATGCTGTCTCTTCTATTTTCTCGAATATTGTCATGTATGCGATCGATCAGTTTGTACCCATGACAACTCCACCCATATCTAGTAACCTTCCTTGGACCAACCACCGACTTAATTCATCTAAACGAGCTGTCTTGAAGAAAGTTTTTAAACTTCGAACGGATGCATCGCAGAGAAATTACAACCTCGCTAACAAACAGTATAAGAAGAGAAGAGTCAGATACGGAGGAAATAGCTCCTGTTCATGTCACAATTCAGCAGTGTCTTCGTCAAATAAAATTTACCTAACGAGCACATCGTAGCCGCCGTAAGTGATGTTCCCGTACTTTCTGCTGTTGGGCCGCATCCGCCTATCTCGACTAATGATGTTCGTAGAGCAAGCCTTCGTTTGAAAAATTCTTTCAGCACTGCCCTAATAAAAATAACCATAAAATAGAGCTTAACGACGTGTTCGGGGTATCATCCAAACCATTTGTGGGATAGTTTACCCCTCTGGGATACAATTTGTTTATGGTATTTGTTTACTAGGGTGGCCTTGACGGAATCCCTTCTGCGGTTATTAAGATTTAGCATCCATCTTCAACCTCTCTTTGGATTCTGGGATCTTTCCCGACTGCTGGAAGGATTCTTTTGTTTTCCCTGTCTTCAAAAAAGGCAATAAGCAGTTGGTGTCGCACTACCGTGGTATTGCTGCTTTATGTGTAGTCTCAAAACTTTTTGAACTATTGGTGCTAGATTATTTAAAACACACATGCTCTAGTTACATCGCGACTGAACAACACGGATTTATGCCGAAGAGGTCGACCGCTACAAATCTCGTTCAATACACATCATCAATCATACGCGAAATGGAAAGAGGTCATCAAGTGGATGCTATCTACACCGATCTTTCTGCTGCTTTTGATAAAATCAATCACGAGATTGCAGTGGCAAAACTAGAGCGACTTGGCTTTCACGGTTCCCTTCTTGATTGGCTTCGCTCATACCTCACCGGTCGACATACGTCAGTGAAGATTGGAGATCATTTCAACCGTTTGCTGTTTCTTCTGGTATACCTCAAGGCAGTCATCTGGGACCGTTCATATTTTTATTGTATCTGAATGACGTTCACCTTTCGATCCGTTGCTGACGACTTCAAACTATCAATTGCCATCAAAGATCGAAGTGATGCATTCTTTCTTCAGCAGCAGCTGGACGTTTTTGCTTTTTGGTGTTACAAGAACAGGATGGTATTAAATGCTTCTAAATGTGTGTATAACGTTTTCCAGGAAAAAAATCACCTATCTATTATGCTTACAGCCTGCAGGAGCAAATATTAAGCCGTAAATCTACCGCGTCGACCGCGTCCTACTTGATTCACAACTCACCTTCAAGGACCATGTGGCTTATGTTTCCGCTAAGGCATTTTCTCAACTTGAATTCATTTTTCGTTTCGCCAATGAC